TACGCAGTTGATCAGGCCGAGGCAGCGCATCAGCCAGGTACTATGTCAGGGATGGTTGTGCTTAATGATATTCCTGTTTTCGCTTTGTTCGATACTGGAGCAACACATTCTTTCATTTCACGACGATGTCTTGATGCCATCGGAGTTCACGCTACCACCGCTATCGATCCTCTCGAGGTAAGTCTAGCCTCGGGACGAAAGATAGTGACTTCAGCTAAAGCTTCAAATCTCAGCCTTTCCATCAGTGGTCGTTCATTGTCAACCGACGCGTATGTTCTCGAGATGAGAGACTTTGACCTCATTCTCGGGATGGATTGGCTATCCTTTTATCATGCAGATATCCGATGTCATGATCGGGAGATTACTCTCTATCTTCCGGAAGACGATTCGATTACCTTCTTTGGCTCCAGGAATCGTTCATTGCCTCATGTTGTTTCGATGGTGAAAGCCACCAAGTTACTACGACGAGGCAACTGCCAGGGTTATCTGGTGAGCCTTGTCGATGATTCTCAGAAAGCACGATCACCTCACGATGTTCCAATTGTTTGTGAGTTTGTGGACGTGTTCCCAGACGAGCTTCCAGGAGGACCACCTAACCGGCAGGTGGAATTCTCTATCGATCTCATTCCAGGAGCCGGCCCAGTCTCCAAAGCCCCATACCATATGGCGCCGAAGGAGTTGCAGGAGCTTAAGGCGCAGATCCAGGAGCTATTACGGCTCGATTTCATCCGACCGAGCGTGTCACCTTGGGGAGCACCCGTTCTCTTTGTCAAGAAGAAGGAAGGTTCCATGCGCATGTGTATCGACTACCGGGATCTTAACCGGTTGACGATCAAGAACAAGTATCCGCTTCCCAGGATCGACGACTTATTTGATCAGCTGAGGGGAGCCTGTGTGTTTTCAAAGATTGACTTGCGATCAGGCTACCACCAGTTGAAGATTAAGGAGTCAGATATTGCTAAGACCACTTTCAGGACTCGTTACGGCCATTACGAGTTCGTCGTCATGCCATTCGGCCTCAGTAAGGCTCCAGCGGTTTTCATGGACCTGATGAACCGTATTTTCCATCCCTACCTCGATCATTTTGTCATTGTATTTATCGACGATATTCTTATCTACTCGAAGAGCCAGAAGGAGCACGAGGAGCATCTGAGGGTGGTTCTCGAAACCCTCAGACGAGAAAAGTTGTTTGCAAAATTCTCCAAATGCGAGTTCTGGCTCCAGCGAGTAGCTTTTCTGGGTCATGTGATTACTCAGGCAGGTATCGAGGTGGATCCTTCTAAGGTCTCAGCTATTCAGAACTGGTCGACACCGAAGAGTCCGTCCGAGGTTCGCTGTTTTCTCTGGCTATTACCGCAGGTTTATCCAGGGCTTTTCTAAAATTCCTCTCCCACTATCCCAGCTGACGAGGAAGTCTGTGAAGTTCGAGTGGACTGATCGTTGTGAGGCGAGCTTTCAGGAGCTCAAGAGAAGATTAACTTCAGCCCCGGTGTTGACTATTCCCGATCCTTCTCGGAGTTTCACTATTTTCAATGATGCTTCGAAGCAGGGACTGGGATGTGTACTCATGCAGGATGGCCAGGTCGTTGCCTATGCTTCACGCCAGCTTAAGCCGCACGAACAGAACTATCCGACGCACGACTTGGAGTTAGCAGCAGTCGTTCATGCCCTCAAGATTTGGCGACATTATATTTACGGCGGTCATTACGAGATTTTCACAGATCATAAGATCCTGCAGTACATTTCACGCAGAAGGAGCTTAACATGAAACAACGCCGTTGGCTCGAGCTCGTTAAGGATTACGATTGCTCGATTCAGTATCACCCGGGAAAGGCGAACGTCGTTGCTGACGCCCTAAGCCGAAAGGTGAGGGGTGACTTGACGTACGTCGTTACTCAACAGAGTCTGTTGATTCAGGAGTTCGCCCGGATGCAGATTCAGGCGGTCGATGCACTTCCCACAACTATTTCGGGGAGTGTCAGTGCCAGTGTTAATGCCATGCAAATTCAGCCGACGCTGAGAGAGAGAATCCGACGGGAACAGGATTCTGACGAGTTCGTGCGAGTCATGGAGGCCAAAATCCGTGCCGGAGGCGTCGAGGATTTTCAGTTAGGTTCAGACGGAGCATTAGAGTTCAGAGGCAGGATTGTGGTCCCAAAAGTCGAGGCGTTGCGGAAGGAGGTATTATCAGAGGCTCATACCGCACCCTATTTAGCCCATCCCGGGAGCACGAAGATGTATCATGACTTGAAAGGGCCGTTCTGGTGGCGCGGAATGAAGAAGGACGTCGCTGAGTTCGTCAGGAGATGTTTTACCTGTCAGCAAGTCAAAGCCAAACATCAGAGTCCGATCGGCCTCCTGCAACCACTGCCGATTCCGCGGTGGAAGTCGGTGGAAGTCACGATGGATTTCGTTACGGGATTACCGAGGTCGTCTGAACATCACGACGCTATTTGGGTCGTGGTCGACAGATTGACTAAGGTCGCTCATTTCTTACCCGTTTCGATGAAGATGTCTTTGGATAAGTTGGCTGAGATTTATACCCGTGGTATCATCCGACTCCACGGAGTGCCCGTTACTATCGTATCAGACCGAGATCCCAGATTCGTCAGTAGATTCTGGCATAG